GGAAACAAACTCAACCAAATCAAAGGAAAATAGGGTTTCCTTGAACACAGTATCAAAAAGTAGAGGGAACAGTTTAAATGTGCCAACTGGTGGCAGGTAAATCCACAGCCTATTGTTATAAGTCCTCCCAGCATCAATCAGGTTTCTTCTCATGTTTTCTCAAGATTATTTTTTCTTTTAATAGATGTGATGACTTTTACAAAAGTCTAACAGGTGGGCAGGCAAGCTTCAATCATTAGTTTCAGGATCTGTCTGTGCCATGTAGGCATCCAACTCAGCATCCAGGTGTCCTTTAGTTTTCGACATGTAGGCATCCAACTGGTTGTCCAGCTGTTCCTTGTTCAGTACAGGGTGAGTGAAGGCACCTCTCCTTCAGCCACGACCTTGGCCTCTGCCTCCAAAGCCCTCTTTTCCTGGACATATCATAGCCCGAACTCTACAACAGATTCTGCAATGACCCATGGCTCCACGACATAGGCCCACTCTCCCAAGACCTCCATGAACTCGAACAGCACCTCTTCTTAAGTCCATTCCTGTAGCTAAGGCTCTTCCACCTTGGAGCAGGTTTTGACCTTGGAGCAACTTCCTGCCCCTAAGCGGGGTCCTGGTGGCACGTGCCCCATGTAGTCCTCCATGGGGCAAGCCTCTTTGGATTATGGGTAGTTCACTTCCTCCAATAGCTCCCCTGGCCAGGGTCGGCCTATATGTGCCTGGATGTTACTCTTACCCAGGTGCTGCTTTGAGCTTTGCTTAAGTTTTAATACTGCCTGGACAGACGGCCTGTTCTCCATCTGCAGGGTCAGTCTTCTGTTTTTAGCACTGTCTATCTGCTGCTGCTGCTGCATCGAAGCCCACATATTCACTGGCATCGGCTGTTTGTTCTTCAGAATATTAGTAAAGCGCTCATTTAGAGACACCTTGGTGGTGCGTTTTAGCGCAAATTTCGGCACTGACTGTGTAGCCATCTTGAAATCCTGAGAATTGAAGGAGACAGACGCCAGGCCTCCTCAAAGGGTGGCCACCACTTGTGCTGCTAACCTCAGCTAACAGGGGCCGCTGGGGCTAACAAACTGGGCAGTTAGGTGAGATGCTCAAACAATATACTGCAAAGCTCCCTCGTCGTTGGTTGCTTATCTGGCCAGCTAATCCTCCTGCTCCTTAGGCCTTTCCTTTCCTGCCTTTCCTCTGCGCGGCGAATTCCTGATTGGTGTCCTTATGGTATTATGGAGACTTAATACAGTTAAACAACCAAAGTTCCATCATTTCCATACACAAAATATTTCATCATAGTCCTACATAATTTATTCTAGACATATGATTCATCAGGGTGAAAAATCCAGGATAGAGGAATGGAATGCCTGAAATAAGAAAGCCCATGGTGTGAAGTATGTCAAGGGTATATGTATACCCCTTGTAAATTGTGAAATTTTTGTTTCTGGACTTCGTTTTATTTTGTTTTTTTTTTGAAACAGGTTTTCTCTGTGTAGCTTTGGAGCCTATCCTGGCACTCGGTCTGGAGATTAGGCTGCCTTCAAACTCAGAGAGATCTGCTTGACTCTGCCTCCCGAGCGCTGGAATTAAAGGCTTGAGCTACCAACGCCCGGCCTACAACTCACATTTTAAGATTTCTACTTGTCTCCCATTTCAAAGGGCACAGTGCAACACTTTCATAAGAAAATCATTAAAAGAGAATGTCCAATGACCAGGAATAGGTTGTACATATCTTGAATCCCATAACTCAGAGGCAGAGCCAGGTTGAGCTATGGGAGATACAAGCCAGACTGACCTACAGAGCAAGTTCCGGGATAGGATCTAAAGGAATACATAGAAAATGGATCTCAAAATATCAAAAAAAAGTAAAATGGAATAACCAACCTCTGACTGTGTACCCAGGATTTCATGCAACAGGCTCAGTCTCCCTTGGCAGCCATTGTGGCTGTGGACACCGTGGGTGTCACATGGCTTGACTGTTGGTTCTGAGATTTTATAAGTCAAATTCCTTAAGACTTGTGGTGGGAGAAGTGGCAGTAAGAATTAAGTCTGAGAAACCCATCCACAGGTCTTCAGAGTCCCACATCCCCAAACTTCGAATCTACCTTTGGTCAGGCTTGGTTGACAGGTAGCCCTGGGAGCACTGGTGTCAGTCCACAAATGATCCGCCTTAGTAAGAGTAGATGAACTCAGCAGGGCCACTCAGCCTGTGTAACTATCAAGACAACTGGCTCTCATTGTGAGTGTGTGTATAAAAAAACACACTACTGAAGCCACCAAGAATG